TCTCGGCGGACACAACATCTTTGTTTGTATGTGGTGCTGAGGATCGAACCCGGGCCGCACGCATGCTAGGCGAGCACGCTACCACTTGAGCCACATCCCCAGCCCAGGCATTGGTTTCTTACCCTAATGTTTTTGTAATTTCATTTCACAACCAGATCTGGTTTTGCCCCCATAGTGAAGTCAGGGCAGGTGTGGTTGGACAGCTCATCTTTGGTGGGTTTGGCAGCAGTTACTGTAGCAGGAGCTGGAGGTCAGCCTCCAGGATGCGGCCTGCACTCCTAAGTCGGGTACCTCAGTGCTCCTTGGCCCCTTCTTCCCCAACATAGCATCTCATCTTCTCATACTGTGACATGCTGGCCTCAGGTGGTTGGGCTTCTTGCACAGTGTCACGGGACTCCAGGAGGGAGGGTTTCACCAGACAGAAAGTGGAAGCAGTAAGGTTGGGGCTTGAAGGTGCTATTTGTTTATTGGTCAAAGAAGTCACAGGGCTTGTTGCGTCAAGGTAGGAAACAAACTTTACTTCTTCGTGGGTGGGAGGAGCAGCAAAGAATCTGAAGCCAACTTGAATTCACCACAGGTGGAATCCTGACAAAACACTCTAGGACAGAATGGTCTATTTTGTCATTGAAATGTCTTGTCCTTTTCTGAAACTGGGGTGCAAGGAGTGGTAGGGTATTCCATGATGTGCTCAAATACTTATAAAAGATTCTGTAAAGAAGGACTCACTGAAATGTAAAAAAACCAAAAATCTGAAGTAACTTTTTAAAAAAAATATTTTTGGTTGTAGATGGACACAATAACTTTATTAATTTTTTTATGTGGTGCTGAACCCAGTGCCTCACGCATGCTAGGCAAGTGCCCTATCACTGAGCCACAACCCCAGCCCCTAAAGTTACTTTTAAGGACCAGTAGGAGGGAAGAGCACCTTTGAGTGTTCCAGTTTTCAAATTCAGTCCTTTTAGAGCAGGATCATCTTGGTCTTTAGTTTCTTGATTCGTTGGCTGCTTTATTTATTTTTTTGGTATTGAGTATTGAACTCAGGGGTTTTCTACCACTTTTTATATATTTTTTTGAGACAGTGTCTTGCTAAATTGCTAAGGTTGGCCTTGAACTTGCAATCCTCCTGCCTCAGCTTTCTCAGTTTCTGGGGTTACAGGTGTGCACCGTCATGCCCAGCTCTTGGTTAGCTTTGGTTTTCCTGAGTAATTGTGACCTATTTTCAGTATGTGTGGTTACACTCAGCCAGGTGTTGTAAATTGTGATACTTGCTGCTATAGTCAAGGTGTTGATATGTAGAAACAAGACTGAGAAAGGTTTTTAAGAGGTGTTGTCCATCCTCTATCTCTAGGCATGTAGGTGCCAAGTGTCTGCAAGACCATCTTGACTTCTATTTTCCCCCTTAGGATGGAACCCACATATGCTAGGCAAGTGCTCTACTCTACCACTGAACTACCCGCCAAGGCCCCATTTGTCATTTTGCAGATAGAGGACTTTTTTAAATATTCTAGATGTTAGACCCTTACCAGATAAGTGATTTGCAAACATTTTCTCCTATGGGTTGTCTTTTCACTTTCTTCATATTGCCTGTTGACACTCAAAGTCTTCCGTTTTAATGAGATCCAATTTAGTTTTTCTTTTGTTATCAGTTCTAGAGTGTGTGTGTGTGTGTGTGTGTGTGTGTGTGTGTGGTAGGGGGTGTTTGTTTTCCTTAGGATTTTCTATATACAAGCTATCACCTGCAAAAAAAGAGAGTTTTACTTTTTCCAATTTGGATGCATTTTCTGTCTTTTTATTGCCCAATTTGCCAGCCTGGAACTTGCAGTATACTGTTGCATAGAAGTGGTGAGAACAGTCAGCCTTGTCTTATTCCTGACTTAAGAGGGAAAGCTTTCAGCCCCTACTATTGGGTATGATGTTAGCAGTGGGTTTCTCATAGATGCCCTTTGTCAGGGGGTTTTCTAAAAAATTTGTTGAGGAACTTTTTAAATTTTTTCTTTGCAGTGTTGGGAATGGAACTAGGGCCTTATGCATACCAGGCACCACCGATCTATATCTCCCCTTCTCCCCTTCCCAAGCACTGAATTTTTTTCAAATGTTTTCTTTATATCTGTTACAATAATCATGCATTTTAACCTTTTTTTCTCTTAATTCAGCATATTACATCAATTGATTTTCATGTATTGAACCAATCTTATTCCTGAGATAAATCCCTCTTGGCCATGATGTATAATCCTTCTCATTCTTTGGTAGGTTTAGTTTGCTGGTGTTTATTGAGGACTTTCCTATCTATATTAATAATTGTGATGACTTTGTTTTTAATCTTGGACTTTTAACTTTTTTTCTTAAACTTTTGTTTTCCCCAAGAGTGGTTCCTTGGTGCCAAAGATATGTCCCATGAACCTCAGATCCCTAGAGGTCAGTGCAGGGCCTGCCATGAGTTGGGGTATCTTGAGAGTGTAACTGAGCCCAGGCTCTCTTCTGGATCCTTGGGGTTCAAATGCATTTGGAATTTATTCATCCCAGATAGATGTCACCTTGTCCAATGCTCTCTTTAAAAGGCCCTAAGGTCTGGGCCATTTTGTCTGTTTCACAAGAGTCATGCCAAGAACTAGATGCCACGGACATCCTTGCCTGTCCCCAGTGCCTGGCCCTGGAACAGCCTTACACATGGCTGACACTCTGCGAGTGATTGGGGAACAGATGAAAGGGAGGGAATCAGCTTTTGCAGTCTCTTTTACAAGAGACCATCATCAATGTCTAGGGTTGAGAGCAGCAGACATGCTGGGTACTTACAGAGAAGAGAATGTCTGCTTTGAAGTCCCAGGTCTGTGCCGAAATCCTACCCACAATCCCTACTGAGCTCTAGATCCCTCAGGTGAAATTAATTGAAAATGGTTGATTTTTTTTTTTGTGTGTGAAAATTTGAATTTCTCTAAAGCCTCACTCAGAATCTTTATTTTAAAACAAATATAATAATGGAATATAATAATGTTTCATACTGATACATTAATTGTGACAAGTGCACCATACTACAGTAAGATATTAATAGATAAAACTGGGTGTGGGGTATTTGAAAAGTATCTTTGCATAATTCTGTAAATCTTAAACTGTTCTAAAATAAAAAGTCTGAACAAATATGGTGGGTGAAAGTTTAAGTTAAACTGTTTCCAAATAACTACCCTACTTCCTAGCACCTTTTCGGAATAGTAAAAAAGTTGATGTCTGCTACTGGCATTTTTGTAGACACTGGGTGATTAATCTTTTTATTTTTAAATCAGGGATTGAACCACCCAGGGGCATTTAACCACTGAGCTACATCCCTAGCCCTTTAATTTTATTTATTTATTTTTATGCGGTGTTGAGGATTGAATTCAGGGCCTCATGTGTGTGAGGCAAACGCTCTGCCACTGAGCTACAAGCCCAGCCTCCTCCCCAGCATTTTATATATTCTATTTTGAGACAGGGACTCTCACTAAGTTGCTTAGGGCCTTGCTAAATTGCTGAGGCTGGGTTTGAACTCAAATCCTCCTGCCTCAGGTTCCTGAATTGCTGGAATTACAGGCATGTGTCACTGTGTCTGGGCCCAGTGAATCTATTCTTAACTGGTATACTGTTTTAAGGGATGAGACTTAATATATTTTATTTTTTACTTTTTTGGGTACTGAGGATTGAACTCAGGGGCACTTGACCACTGAGCCAATCCAAGTCCTATTTTTTTGTATTTTAGTTAGAGACAGGGTCTCACTGAGTTCCTTAGTGCTTCGATTTTGCTGAGGCTGGCTTTGAACCTGTGATCCTCCTGCCTCAGCCTCCTGAGCCACTGAAACTTGATATATTTTAATATGAAAAAAAATATATTTTTATTACTTATAAAATCTTAATTATCTTGGCATTTTTTCCTAGGTAAATATAAATCATTAATTTTTTTTGAGATTTTAGTTGGAAATGTACAAGCTTGTGTTTTATTTCTGGCAAAAATCAACTTATTTATCAGTACTGGGGACTGAGCCCACCCTTTATTTATTTATTTATCTATTTATTTTGAAATAAGGTCCCACTAAGGTATTTAGGACCTCACTACATTGTTGAGGCTGATTTTTAACTTGCAATCCTCCTGCCTCAGCCTCCAGAGTTACTGGGATTACAGGTGTGTGCCAGCATGCCTGCTAATCAGATTATTTAAATTAATGATTCTGCTGGGCCTCAAGCATGCCAGGCAAATGCTCTACCACTGAGCAGCATCTCCAGACCCACATGTGAATTTTCTAAGCCTTGTCATGCACATAACATTTTTTTCTTCCAAACAGTTTCAAAATTTTTGCTTTCCAGGAAGCCCAAGTAACACCAGGCTTCAGTTATTAAGAAAGACTATGAAATGCAAGACAAAGAGCTGAGGTATAGGTCTGTAGAACTTCACAGAAAAGGAAGAGGAGCATTCAGGCATGTTCAAAAGGGATTAGAGCTGGGTATGGTGGTGCATGCCTGTAATCCCAGAGACTTGGAGACTTAGGCAGGAGGATTGGATTAGAGGCCAGCCTCAGCAACTTAACAAGACCCTAAGCAACTTAGTGAGACCCTGTCTCAAAAATAAAAAAATTTTTAAAAAGGCTGGGGATGTGACTCAGTGGTTAAGAACCCCTGGGTTCAATCTCTGGTACCCCCAAAGAAAAAGGATTATTAAAGATGAAATGGGGCCCAGGGTCTTGAGGAGGGGTAGGAAACTGAGAGAAGGGAGGCCACACAGAGATGTACAGGCTTTCAGGCTGTCCTGGCTTTGCCAGACCCTGCCCCATTTCCTCCTCCCTCCCTCCTGAGGTGTAGGACAGTCAGCATTCCTAAATCTGCTCTTCTTCCTGCTCTGATGGACAGTATCACCGACATCCATACTATGTTTCCAGCCAGAGACCAGGGCACCCTGCTGATACCTCCCATCCTGGGAGACTGAGCCCTGAGAACCCAGTTTGAGAAGTGTCTGGTCCTGTATCAGCACAGGCCTTGGCTCAGGGAGGTGCTCACTCAATGTTTATTGAAAAAAGAATACAGAAAAGATAGTAGACTGAAGCGCTCTCTACATGTGGAAGTAGCCCCTCTTGAAAGAAAGAATATTCTCCATCCACATGGGTTTGAGTCAGTTAAAAACCACACCTAAGGCACATGGCTGGTGATGGTCATCACATCAAAAGATGTGAGTGGGCTTCTTGTGCAATGGAATTCTTCCTCCTTGTCTTTAGGTTTCCAGGCTCAGAACAGGAGTGAGGGTGAAAAATGGGGGCCTCTGGTGGATACCCCCAGAGCTTCCTCCAGGCAGGATTTCCAGCAAACAGCTGGGACACCAGTTCCTCTCCTTCTCCGCCAACCGTCTCCACAGCTTCCGCTGGCTCACACCTCAGGGATCGGGTAGGAGGCACAGGCAGCCAGACCACACATGTTCTTCCCACGCTCAATGAGGAAGTACCTGGGCAGAGAGAAAGATCTTTCTAGAATGTTCTGCCACTCACCAAGACCTGACTCCAGGGATTAAGCCCCCTGAATTTATTCATGAAACAGTGGCATTGGGCTTTTTTTATCAACAAGAAATTACTGATGTAACCTTGTGAAAAATTTCTTTTTCCCTCTCCTGGGTCACCAAATGATCTCATTTTCTTATTCTGTCCATATCCTACTTCTTCCCAGAATTGCCTGTTGGCCCCCTTCCTAGCCCTGGCTAGGCCTTCACATAGTTACTTCACATCACCAGGGCTCCTTGATTGAGGTAAGGACAGAAACTCCTTTTCAGAGGAATCTGAAAGGAGACACAGAGTCACATCAACATGCACAGACACCCAGGCCTCCTGGCTCCAACATTTTTTCCTTGAAGTAGGGACTGTCAAGTTCAGGGGCAAATTGTTGTCCTGATTTCTCAAAGCTGGACCCTCCCAAAGGGTGGCTTGGTCCCAGCAGGGTTCAGGGTTCTAAGCTGTTATCCCAGCAGTGGTTACTACTGAGGCTCTACTGAGCCAACTGGATTCCTATTACCTGCGTTAGTAGCTGGGGTCCCAGGGGTAGAGGTCACATTCTCATGCTTCCCCCTGGCCTGGCTAGGGCTTGGCTGAACAGCTCCTTTCTTGAAGCTGTAACTTTCTTTCTATCTATCTATCTATCTATCTATCTATCTATCTATCTATCTACCAATGAGTTACACCCTCAGCTCCCCTTTTTAAAATTTTTAATTTTGAGATAGGGTCTTGCTAACTTGCTGAGGCTGGCCTTGAACTTTCTCAATCCTTCTGCCTCAGCCTCTGAAGTTGCTGGTATTACAGGTGTGTGCCACTGTACCCAGCCTGGAAGCCATAACTTTGAGGTGGAAGAGATACCCACAAGGTCCTCCAACCTGAGCAACGTGACCCCCACCCCGAACAATGGGACTGAGAAGCTACTTACCCATCCTTTCCCCAATGGGAGCCCCAAGAATTCTTCACGATCCAGTAGGGTATCCCATTCTCTTCTCCATACCCAACAGCCAGTACTGCGTGGTTTACTTTATCTGGAGTCTTATGACAGGAAGTACTGGGAAGGAAATAAAAGAGAGTGGATACTATGGGAAGGACAGAAGCCACCGCGAGTCACACCCAAGCATGGCTCTCCCCGTGTGCTAGGGCCATGTTTCCCATGGGAGCCCATCAGGTGAGAATGACTTCTCTTCACATTGAGAGGGAGTAGTTCTCAGTTCTTTCAGTCCTGCTGGTGCAAGGAGAGTCTTGGTGTGGCGCTGGCCCCTTTCCTCCAGTGTGACACCTTCTCTCCCACTAAAGAGGGAACAGTCCTCCTGCTGCACCTTTGGCAGCCAACAGTGTTGGACTAGAATTCAACACCATGCTGTTTTGCTACCAGTGCATTTATTTCAAAGCTTCCATGAGGAAATTCCAAGAATTCATGGGAAAGCTGCAGCGGTCACAGGTGGATTCTGCTAATGTGGAACTGAGGTTCGAGTACATATGGGCCAGGCCCCGGGCAGGTGCTGGGGTGCGAGCAGCAGGGTCCACCCTGCAGATGGGCAAAGAGGCTGCCTCTGAGCAGTGGACTATGGGCTGACAGTGCGGAGGATGACGGGAGCCCTAAAGAGGGGCTCCAGCTCAGTGAGGTGGGGAGCAGGGGGGCCAGGAAGGCCTCCCTGAGGAAGCAGGGAACACCCATGAAACTTCAAACCCTTCCATGTGGCTGGGGTGGGGGTTGCAGGGGGAGCCAGGGACAGGGAGGGAGATGTGACACACATGAATGTGGAGAAGAGAGAAGGGTCAGATTATAAGGGTCCCCACAGCTGGGCTAAGACACTGAGCAAAGGGAGGCGCTGGAGTGCTTAGAGTTGGCATGTCAGAAGGTGAACCCTGGCTCCAAGTGGAGGAAGGGCCAGCATGTGTGGGGGGGTGTGTGTGTGTCATGGTCAAGGACAAGCCAGTGAGGAGGCTGCTGGAAGGCGGGAAATGGTGGGCTGGGTGAGAGGAGATGGGAGGTGGATGGGAGGGGAGAGCCCAGAGGTGAGCAATGTTACAGGGACAGTGAGGACGACGGGAGGAGGGCTCACACGGCTCTGTCCTTCCTCCAGTGCAGCAGCAGGGACGGGGCCCCTGCTGACTGGATGGAGACCTGGGCAGGAAGGGGCCAGAAGAGAGATGCAGGCCGTGAGGTTTCCAAAGCCATCCAGGCTGAGGTGTGGGGGGAGCTGGGTGCGGGTCCAACAGTTCTCAGCAAATAGCTGGCCATGGAGCTACAGGGGCAGCTGAGAACTCAGAAGAGGGCTGACAGACAGCACTAACATTTTAGGGTGCCTGGAAAACGAGGGGACATGAAGGACTCTGGGGAGCAGGCAGGAGGTGGCTAGAGACACACACTGAACTCACTGCACAAAACAGGCAGGCTAAGAGGTGTGGGCAGGAGCAACCCTGCAAGAGAGATGCCAAGGGGCCTGGCTTTCCCGAGCTCAGGATTCTGGTGCTCGAGAGCAGTTACTTTCTTATCCCTGTTCTATGTCTTCAAATTTTCTTTCTTTTTTTAAATATATATATTTTTTAGTTGTAGATGGATATAATATCTTTCTTTCTTTCTTTATTTTTATGTGGTCCTGAGGATCAAACTCAGCACTTCATACGTGCGAGGCAAGTGCTCTGCCTCTGAGCTGCAGCCCCAGCCCTGTCTTTACATTTCTGAATGTGAGGTTTTTAACTTTCTTCCATAGATGAGGCTACCTCTCTGAGTTAGTGAGCACTGGCCCTCACCAGCCATGTGTCAGGGATCCCTTCTGATCTCTTTTCTCTGAAAGTCTGTGGTCCCCGACCCTGAGAGCTGCATGGGGTCTAACCGAGGAAACATCAAATTCCCAGCAAGGCAGATGTCATGAAATGGTCTGACCAGGAGTCTGGGCTGAGCCCAAGGCCCCTGTGCCAGGAGTGAGGAGGCCCCCCAGTTTGCTCCACCAGCCTTCTTGGCTCCTGGACCCAGCTCACCTGGAGTAGACACCACTTTTATACATCATGAAATCTTCAGTCACCTCAAAAGCAAAGCTCACGGGGTTGTATAGGGCCACGGCCTCCACCATTGCCTCCTCATCATTCTGCGGACAGACAGAGGATTGAGAGAAAGACAGCATGGTCTCTGTCACCTCCCCACCCCACTTTCAAAATATGGCCCTCTGACACAAGGTAGGGGCAGGAGGTCCAGACCAATATACATGACCAGGAGGAAGGAAGAGGCAAAAATGCAGCCATCAAGGGGCAGCCCCCTCTGTCCAGCAGAACCTCGTCCCTGGGCCCTGCCTCTTGTGCAGATTGCCAGGTTCCTTTGGTTTTCTATTGGCTTACACTCCTTCCTCCCCCCAGCACGGGCTCCCCGTGGCCTCCCCTCCCTTTGCTGGCTGAGTCTGTCTGGTCTTCTCCCCCACAACACACAGGACACAGTGTGGACTTGCTCATCAGTCACTCCCAACTATTCACTGAGGCCAGGGGCTCTGAAGGCGGAGAGATGGGTGTGACATACCCAGGCCTCCCTGAAAGTCAACCGATGAATTTCTGCTGGTAGAACATAAGGTTCATAAACCCAGGAACAGATAAGACCCAGATCTGAACACCAGATCTGCCCACATCTTCATTCTTGTTCTATTTTCTTGTCTTTTTATTTTTTTGAGACACTAAGTTGTTGAAGCTGGCCTCAAACTTGCGATCCTTTTGCTTCAGCTTCCTGAGTCACTGGGATTACAGGTGTGCACCACCATGCCCTGAGAACTGGCTCTTTTCTGAAGACAGTAACATCCCTATCCTGGGGTATGGGTTGTATGTGGTCAAGGCAATGAGCCCTGGTTCTGGAATGACATGATCTCAAATCAAATCCAGTTTCCAATTCCTAGCTCTATGGGCTGTGGGCACATTACTTAAGGACTCTGAACCTCTGTTTCCTCATCTATAAAATGAAGATGAATAACAATACTCACCTTCTAGGGTTATTTTGACTTTAAAGGAGATAATGCATGTCTGGTTGTTGGGTACAGCACCTTTAAGTACTTCATAAATGTACACTGTCATTACTGCCTAGAGCTTGACACGTGTTTCAAATACATAGCTGCAGTTGTCATTACAAAGACATCACTTCTATGACCTGCATATATGTTTACTGGCACATGCCCCCACCCCTTAGGCTCTCATTTGTACAAATCATACCTGCCCACATCTATGAAGATATTTGATCACTCCTACACAATCCTCCCCTACTATATGCACCCTGGAGTCACGAGGGCCGTTCATTCACATTCAAGCATTTCTTGCAAAAGCAGGGCACAGCTGCATTTCTCAATCCACTGGAGGTGAGGTGTGACTGTGTAACTCATTTATTGCCATAATTGTCTACTCTCTTTCCGTCAGCCTGGGTCCTGCGGTGAGGTCAATAGGTCAGAATACAGTCCTGCCTATGCAAGGGACAGGTCACAGGAGTGAGACATACACTTTATGTAAGCCTTTCTGATTTGAGGCTGGTCATGACTGCAGCAGAACCTAGCTCATCCTGACTGACACACATTCATACTCCTCCTCAATCTCACACACACGTCCTGACATCACACACATGGTCACACCCTCTTGTGCAAGGTGTGGATTATCGCTTGCATTTTACAGACAAGAAAACAGAACAAGAATGAAGATGTGGGCAGACCTGGTGTTCAGAACCTGAGCACCAGCCAGTCGGTGATTCCTTTTCCATCTTCCACCACGCTCTCAGCACAGTTGAGTTAGAGTCAATGATAACTCTTCCGTCAAAGTGACATACTGTCAGAGATGCTGCCCTCCTGGGCCCACTGGCCACCTACCACTGTGGAGACCAGCTTCATCAGAATATATTCCCCAATTGAGAGAAGAGCCCAGTACTCACAAGTGTAATGTTGGCTACATCCTTGACAAATGCAATGGCCTTTTCTGGACGGAACTTGCACTTACTGTCCTGTTCAGGGCAGAAAGGGGCACAGAATATAAGTTAGGAGAGCCCTGGTCCAAGGCTGAGACTCCAGCCTCCACATATGCAGTTTGATAACATTTACTATGTGTCCGAGGGCCTTGATGAGGGTGTCAGTTCAGTGAGAATTAGAGGTATAACTGTCCTCAAGGAATTCAGAGTCTACGGGCAGGAAATAGCCCTGTGCTGGCTGTGGGGCAGAGAGGGACACACACAGTGCTTGGTGGGACACCAGGGAGGAGCCTGAGCCAGCCCAAGGAAGATCACAGAGAAATGGAGGCTGAGTAAGAGGAGAGGGGAGGGACCCTCAGTCAGTCCAGGAAGCAGCTGACAAGAGGGAGCTGCAGAGCTAAGGTCACAGGATAGGGAAGAGCAGGACTGTAGGGAGAGCAGGACCTCCGTGGTTTAGAAACCAGCAAGTGGCTGGGCCTGAGCACAGGGTTTGTGAGGGGGAGGTAACAGGAGATAAGATTGGCTAGGGTGGGGGTGGGGAGGGCTCAAGGAGCCTCCTGAGAGTTCTGAACAAGGCAGGTGCATGTCAGAGCTGCGTCTGAGGCCCAAGGGGAGGCCAGCCCAGTGACCCCATGAAGGGAGACCATGGTCTGAGTGGGAAGTGGGGACATGGCATGAAACAAGGAAGCCTAAGTGAGAAGGTCTGTGATGGCCAGCAGCAGAGTAGGCCAGACCCAGACAGGACCCCAGGTGGCCAGTAGGTTCTGAGGAGGCTGGTGCTGCTCCTCGCTGAGAGGGGAAGCAAAGGAGGGGCTGTGGGTTTGGAAGAAAGACAAAGGGCTTGGCTGTGGCCAGCTTGGGATGAGGTGATGGAGGGGGTGGCCCCTGGCGCACACAGCAGAGCAATGTAGAAGTGGCCTAGGAGAGCATGGTGGTCAATATGAGAGACCTCCTGTATGGACAGGAGGCAGGCCAGGAAAAAACAGGGCAGGCAGGGCGGTGTGCGGAAGGGTTCCTGAGGAGAATACTCAGGAAGCAGAGAGATAGTGCCACAGGGGTGGGGGTGACAAGAGGCCAGAGGGGAGCGCAAAGGGCTCAGACATTCTGGATCACAGCAAGAGGTGGAATGATGGTGGAATGAAATGGCCATCATAACCCTAGGTACATGGGAGACAAGATGTGTCCTGACACAGGTAGGAATGGAGATGGGAGAAGACAGCTGGGGCTACCCGGAATTACCTTGCCCAAGTAGGGGTAGGTGTCTTCTCCCATGATGCCCTTGTTGTACAGGATGTACTCGAAGGCCTGGCTGGGGAGGCCCCTGCAAGAAGCACACACAGGTAAGCCCAGGTGGAGCCACCCTGATGGACAGAGGTGGGGCCTGCAGAGCTGGAGCTTGTGTGATATTCGCTGTGACCTGGCTCACTGGGTCTTGGTGAGTGTGCCCTGGTGGCAGAGGAGGTCTCCTGAGAGGTCAGCAATGTTGCCCTACTTGCCTTGGCATAAAGCTTAGCAAACTCAGGTGAGTCCACTGGAGGTCATGAGGAATGGGAAGTCTCTCAGGAAGACCTATGGGATCGCCCCAGTGCACCATCACCAAAAGCACACTGCCTAAGGGGCAGCCCTGTGAGGGGGTGGTCCGCACATGACTGCCTGACCCTTGAGTGATAGGTGTTATTTCCCTGATTCAGCTCAGAGAGGCTGAACACCTTGCCCAGGGTCACAAAGCTGGAGTTAGGCTTTGGTTCCAAAGGTGAATCCTTTCTTCATCATGCTACCTCCCAGAGAAAACAAAAAACTTAACTGCTGCCCAGCACTCCCCACTCTGATCCCTACTGTGTCTTCCTCTCCACAGCGTGTGCCACTGTGACCTGATCTATGACATGCTTACAGCCTGTCTGACCTGACCAGCTGAGTGTCAGCTCCAGTTCTGCAGAGTGTTGTACCCCTGTGCCTGGATACACAGTCGGGCTTGATGGTAGCTAGTGCATGGATGAAAGAAGAAAGTCCTGTCCCTTCAAAAAACAGGGCTGCAGCATGCCCAGGGTTCAGCGTGTTAGGGTGGTATGAAGTTGCCCAGTGGAAAGAGATCAAAATGAGACTGAGTATGATGGTACTGTAGCAGGCAGTGATGTCACACTTGACCCCTGCACTTGGCCAGGCATAGCCCTTTGCAGGAGGCTTGGTGTTAGCTGCTGCCAAAGCAGATAGTGGGGCAAGAGGTAAATGGATCAAGGACTTAGGAATAAGACCAGAGACCCCATGCCTATTAGAAGAAAAAGTAGGCCCAAATCTTCATCATGTTGGATTAGAGCCTGACTTCCTTAACAAGACTCTTAAAGCGCAAGAAATAATAAATGGGATGGATTCAAACTGAAAAGCTTCTTCTCAGCAAAAGAAACAATCAGTGAGATAAAGAGAAAGCCTACAGAATGGGAGCAAATTTTTACCATATGCACATCAGATAGAGCACTAATCTCTAGGATTCATAAAGAACTCAAAAATCTTTTTTTTTTTTTTGAGAGGGAGAGAGAGAATTTTAATATTTATTTTTTAGTTATCGGCAGACACAACATCTTTGTTTTGTATGTGGTGCTGAGGATCGAACCCGGGCCGCACGCATGCCAGGCGAGTGTGCTACCGCTTGAGCCACATCCCCAGCCCCAAGAACTCAAAAATCTTAACACCAAAAAACCAAATAACCCAATCAATAAGTGGGCCAAGGCACTGATCAGACACTTCTAAGAAGATGATACACAATCAATCAACAAATATATGAAAAAATGTTCAACATCTCTAGCAATTAGAGAAATGCAAATCAAAACTACTCTAAGGTTTCATGTCACGCCAGTCAGAATGGCAGCTATTAAGAATACAAACAACAATAAGTTTTGGCGAGGATGTGGGGGAAAGGCACACTCTTACATTGCTGGTGGGACTGCAACAAATCCAGAAAGCAGTATGGAGATTCCTTAGAAAACTTGTAATGGAACCACCATTTGACCTAGCTATCCCATTTCTCTGACTATACCCAAAGGATTTAAAATCAGCATACTACAGTAATGCAGCCACATCGATGTTTACAGCAGCTATTGAGCTAAAATGTGAAACCAACCTAGATGTCCTCCAATAGATGAATGCATAAAGAAACTGTGGTATATATACACAATGGAATATTACTCAGTATTGAAAAAGAATAAAATCATGGCACTTGCAGGTAAATGGATGGAGTTGGAGAATATCATGCTAAGCGAAGTAAACCAATGCCAAAAAACCAAAGGCCGAATGTTTTCTCTGATAAAGTGGATGCTGATCCATAATGGGGGTGGGGGTGGGAGTATGGGAGGAATGGAGGAGCTTTGGATAAGGTAAAGGAGGGGGAGGAGAAGGGAGGGGGCATGGGAGAAGGAAAGATGGTAGAATTAAATGGCCATCATTACCCTAGATACATGTATGAAGACACAAATGGTGTGACTGTACTTTGTGAACAACCAGATAAATGAAAAATTATGCTCCATATGTGTACTATGAATTGAAATGCATTCTGCTGTCACGTATAACAAATTAGAATAAATAAATTGATTAATTAAAAAAATGTGTTCCCATAGGGAAAGAAGTGCCAATGTGGTGGGGCTGAGGCCTGAAGGGGGATGCACCATGGGTGGGCAGGCAGACGGGCAGGCAGTCTGGGTTGGGAGTTTCCCTAGGGGCCCCCAAGGGCCTGGCTTTATGCATATTATGTTCTGGGAAAGCTGAACAATCCCACATAAATATCTCAGAGCATAACACAGTGCAGAAAGAGATGAAGCTGAGAGTCATTGTAGAAATGGGAGGAAATTCCTAACAACCTGATGTAGGGATGGGCCAGGAAAGCAGGCCCAGTGGAGGTACAGCTTCCTGCATGGACACATTGCCCTGGTGAGCAAAGCTCCCTCACAGGCCAGTGAGCTAGGGCATCTAGCACTTCAGAGGACCTGTCTAAAGGCTAAACAGCTGTTGGTGTGTGGATTTCCTTTTTGGAGGATGATGTATAACAATATTTTTCTCACTCTTATAAATCCTTTGGCCACTTGCCCAGGAGGCTTTTGTGACTAGTGAGGCTGACTGTGCTCTGGAGAGAGCCATGATATTCTCCAACTCCATCCATTTACCTGCAAATGCCATGATTTTATTCTCTTTCAATACTGAGTAACTTGGTGGAGAGAGGATGGATTTCAGAACTAGACAGGCCTGGGCTCCGATTGTAGCTCTGCCCAGACTGGCTGTGAGATCCTGGCAGTGTAAGGTGTCCTCACTGCATGACAGATGGGGTTGTCTGACACGGGGACGGCACATGCTAGATTTGATAGCAGTGATCAGTGGGAGCTGAGAAGAGGTTCCAGGCCCTCCTGGTTGAGGACTTACCCTTGGCAGCCATGATTGTTGAAATTCTGGGCACAGTCCACCAGCTGCTGCTCTGCCTACAGAAAGGAGCACAAATCCAGTGAGTCCAAGGCCAAGAGGCTATGGAGGCTTTGGCATGAGGTGCCAGGTCTCCTGATCTTTGTCCAATTGGCACTGTGTCAAGATGACCAGATTACAAACTCCCCAAGGGCAGGACAATCTCTGCAATGTCAGCTCAGCAGGTGGCACATGTCAGGAGGGCCTCAGGAGCTGCCTGGCATCAAGTAGGCAAGTGAGAGGCAGTGAGCAGGCACTGCATGGCCCAAGCCCCTGCTCTGCAGGCATGCACACAGTGGGATCACAGGGGCTCTTGGGGGAGGGGGGAAGAGCCAGTCAGAGACCCAGCCCCACCTTTCCTTGACCTGGGCCTTCATGCCTCGATGGTCTCACCCTACACTTTCCCTCTTCCCCATACAGAGGGGGGGACTGGGACAGTTTCCTCAGAGCCTATCACCTCTCACTGTTTGTGGTCAAGGGATAGATATGTTGGTTGTTGCTCTTCCCACTTAAGACAACAGAGGCAGCTTAGGAAGGCATAAAGCTCCTACAGGACTGTCTCCCAGGCAGGCTCTGCTTTTCTAAGCCTATCTTTGGTGAAAGGCCCCAGACTGTCAAAGTGAGGAACCTGAGGAACACACAGAACCACCCAGGAGTGAGCCTGCCACAGTTCCCTCAATAAGCCTCATTCTTTCCGGGAAAAGTATTATTTGAAATTCTCATATCAAATGTCCACAGGCTGGAACACCTGAGGTCCAACTGAAATAGCTCTGAAGGAGGCTGAAGGCCCAGGCACGGCCTCCAGCCCAGGCTGGGGGCGTCCTCCACAGGACTTAGCCCAAGGCTGACTTCTTACCAAAGACAGCATCTTCCCACTGGCGATGGCCACCGCAGACTCCAGGGCCCCTGTGGTGGAGAAAGTCCAGCAACTGCCACAGGCACCCTAGAGAGGCCAAAGAGGGCAGAGGAAGTCAGCAACTGGAATACCACAAGAAGGCCCTGCTTCCTCCACTCACCCCTGTGAAATGCCCCAGGCCCCGAATGCCTTTGTAGTCTGCAGAGCCCTGCTCCAGGTTTGTCCAGCCTGAGCCTCAGAAGTCCTGAGAGGCAACCAAGTCTCACGGAGAAGCAGCAGTTCTGACTGGCACCAGCAGACTCTCAGTCTGGGCCACTCCTCTTGTTGATCCATCCCTGCCATCTTCCAGGGCTGGGAGCCCCTTCCTGACCCCACTCTACAGACTTCTGGCTTTCCTACTTTTGGAGTCTTTTGCTGGCTCCTCTTCTCCATACTGTTTCCCAACAAAGGGAGTCACTAAAGTTCTGTTTCTAGAACCTTCACTTATTCACCACCAATCTCATTCCACCTAACAACAGTTTCCTAAATTGTAGCTTCAGCCTCGACCTTTATCTAGGCCTACAGATCAAAATGACTTCCAGATAGACCTACCGGGGTGCTCCTGACATCTTAGGCAGGCTCTGGGGATCCTGCCCTATGCATCACTCGCGTTGTCTTCTGCCACATTCATTGCTGCACCCCCAGGATGACTTGAGGGTTGGCTGTCTGCACTAGTGCTGGGCTGCTTGGTTCAGATCATAGTTCTGCCTCACACTAGCTGTGTTAGCCAGGCCAGTGACTTCCCCCACAGAACCTGTTTCTTCATTTGTAAAATGGAAGGTGCTAGATAAGGTCATGCAGCTACCCATATGGACTTAATAATGTTCATGGCGGTTATTATTTTCCTCTCAGGCTCATTTTTGTCTCTTCCTCTTCTTATTGGTTCTATGTTTCACATCCTACTTATGAAATGTCTCTTAAACTCCCTTCCTCCTGTCCATGTCATTGCCCCAATTTGGTCCTCATGACCTGTCTCCCTGGAAAGAGCTGTCACACTGGCCTCCCCCTCTAGTCTCATCCTCTCAGAGCTTTCCTTACACAGGAAGAGCTGGTCAGAGTGTCCTTGAGATGTTCAAAGAGGCGGGTTTGGACACACTGGGGGTGACCTTGTTCACTGCTGAAGGAGACACAGTAGGGCTGGATTAGGCCCAGAGGCCTGGTTTTGAATTGTCTCTCACTTATCTTGGACCTTGAACAAGCCACCCTCCCGCTCAGTTTCCTTCTCTGTAAAGTGACAGAGAAGGGGGCTGCTGAGCTAACAACAATGCTGTAGCTGCTGTTTGGAATGACCTTGTTCCTGCCCCCTTAACCTGTGCCTGGAGGCCCAGGATCTGCTGATAGGAAGAATTTGAATATTCTTAGTGGACCTCCCCTTCCATCTGCCCAAATGGTGAGCAGGTGTAGGTTTCCACACCAAATACTTGTTGTTCTGAATTGTCCTGAGGTTCTCCAGAGGTCTTGGAGAAAGAGCTGCCTCTGGGTCATGAAGCTGAAGGCAGGCTTTTTTCTACTGCAGGCTGGGAGGGGAGATTTGTTTTGGCTTGCAGGGGGCTGGTTTAAACAACCAGTTCACTTGGCAGGCTGCAGGACATGGTGAGCTTGGGAGGATGTGGAGTTGCTCCACATGATAGATTTGGAAAGTGAAAAACATTTCCCTTAGTAAGTTTCAGTGGAAAGTCAAGAGTTGCCTGAAAGAAAGACTTAACCTTGTATTTCCTGGAATCGAGGAGTTAGCACTCCTCTGAAGAGGGCCACTGCCCTGCTACTTTGAGGGGAAGGGCCTGGATAGGCAGACAGCAGAGGAGAGTTGGGCTGGGACTCCAGAAGAGAGCATGTGCAAGTTGGGGGAAGGGAGGGGGCATGCGCAGCCCAGTCCACTGTGCCCCAGGTGATGCTCTGCCCCACAGAAAGGCCACCTCTGCTGTGGCCAGAGAACACCCAGGAAATGCTGGGTTTCATTCAGCTCACTGACCACCTGGAACCACTCAAAAGAGACAGGCATTCAGGGGAGGGCCTGCAGCCTGGTGCCTTGAGGAATAGCTGCAGAACAGGAGGAGAAGATACATGGTGGTAGGAATGGAGTCATGATGTCCAATCTCTGCTGGGCACAGGGAACAAAACGTTTTGAGTGATTCCAAAGGACAGACCTGGGACCCACAGGGGAGTGTGTGTTGCGCACGTGCGCTCGCATGTGTGGGAGTAAACGTTAGCCCAATGAAGGAACATTTTCACCCTCCAGAGCAGCTCACATGAGTAACAACCTCCCTAGCCTTGCAGAGGAACAGACCTGGAGAGATGGTGAGGAAAAAGTAGAGGTGGGAATAAGCTTGAGTGGTTTTGTGGTTTCTCTGAGTTTTCCTTCCAGGAATATTGTCTATGAATGTGGCTTTTTTTGGGGGAAGGTTGGGGATTGCCATGCACACCTGATTTTTCACCGGTGAGACAAAATTTCCTTTTTTCCGCCAGTCCATAGAGGTTGGGTAGGGGCCAGTACCCCGAAGGTAATTACTTTTGGTGGCTGAGCAATTCTGGAACAAACAAATACATTATATTCAGGTCAAAAAAAAAATCCCTTTTTTAAAATGAAATCATCAAGACAAGTAAGAAAGGCTATCACTGTGAGAACTGTCCCTCCCCTGTCTACAGGTACCAAATGCTGAATGATATGTTCACTCTAGAGCCCAGGTTTGAGGAATTAGGAAAGGGTAGCAGATTTAGCAAATAAAAATATACCTTAACTCATTCAATTTGAATACCAGGTATAAAATTAGTTTCCCTTAATATCTTGTAAATATGTTCCTTACAATATTTAGAATATACTAAGGGCTCACCTTGCTAAGGTGAGGTCAGAGATAAACCCTCTAGCTTCCTCAAAAAATATTGGGATGCCCCCAGCAATGGCTTAGGGGTGGACTGAATCTAGCTGGAAGCAGAACGGGTTAAAAACTTATTCCAAAGGTTTGAATGAAAAGATTTGCCAGGTGTGGTGGTGCATGCTACCCAGCTGACTCAGGAGGCTGAGGCAGGAGGATCACAAGTTGAAGGCCAGCCTCAGCAACTTAGTGAGTTCCTGTCTCAAAACTAAAAATAAAAAGGGCTGGGGATATAGCTCAGTGGTAGTGTGGCCCTGAGTTCAATCCCCAGTACCACTGGGGGTGGGGGGAGAAGGAAAGAAAGAAATCAAGATTTGTTTGCAATGAATTATACCTACCTGCGGCTCTGACCAAAGATATTTTTGTTTTATCTCAGCAAAGCTCATGTCTGAAAATTGGTTCAGTGCCACTGAAAAAGAGAGGGAAAATCAAAACCAAACCAAAACAAAACAAACAAACAAAAAAAAAAAAAAAAAGAAAGAAAGAAAAGAAATCAACCAAAATGAAGTAGAAAAACTTAGCGAGTCATTACTAAAGAAACAAAAAATAAAGAAACTTCTTCACTTAAGTCCTTCAAAATTTTAAATTTAATATGATCCAATAAATTAAGGTCAATGTTCCCTGTGCTTCAGAACCACTGGGGGAGCTTTACAACAGTATAGGTGTCTGGGCTGCACCCCAGAGATGCTGATGGATGCAGCTGGTCTAGGCCGGGGCCTGGGCACCCACGTTTTTAGACAGCCCACAGGTGAGTATGATGGAGAACCACTACACCTGTGCAAATGCTCCCCCACCTGTGCCACAAGCAGTCTTCATAGCAGCCCAGGGAGGGGCGCATGGTCATCTGTACTGACAGCTCATGTTCAGCATCAGCCCCCAACCCACTGCAAAGTCACACGCTAGTACGGGACGGCTCCTGAGCCCAATATGGCTGAACTGCCACCATTTCTCAGAACCCCAGTAAAACTATCTGAATGTGTGTGCATTTCTAGTGATACAAATATGTAGTGAAGGGGGATGTCCCCAAAGGCGGCCCATGAGCTCAGAGCATTCTCTGAGAGACACTGCCCCTGACAGCTCTGGGTCTCTGGGATGGACCCTCAGATGGCAGGAATAGAGCAGAGGCTTCTTCTCTAGAGTCTCCTGTAAATGTCACACCACCTAGAGGGTACTAGCATTTCCCTAAATTTACAACTCTGTGTTTCATAGACAATAACAGTAAAGTCACAGTCTCAGGCTGGCCAAGGTTGGCCTCAGGGCCTGGGTATCAGCTCCCCACATCACCTCATCATACCCTCTAATGGCTATTATCAGCCTGTGTCACAAATGCTTTCTTTCCAGATCTGAGATGCTCCCTCCCCAGCCTCCCTCTGGAGAAGCCTGAAGGAAAGGCACCCCACAGTACTTTTAAATGTGTGGTTCCTATTGTTGTGGGCGTCGATCTTCCTCCAGTTGCTGACAAATGTCTGCAGCCTGTGGTGGTACTCCTCTGAGCTGTATTTCTTTTGGTGCTAAAAACAAAACAAAACAAAAACAAACAAAAAACATTAACAATAAGTCATGGAAACAGGATGCATGAAGGAGATTTCTTGTTTTCTGAAAGGAGGAATGGAGGTTTTCTTTCTGCCAAGATTCTCAGGACAAATCTTGTGTCAATGGGTGGCACTGGGTCTCTACTATCAAAATCAGTAAGTTACAAAGCGGCCTCCTGCCTCCAGAGATCTGTGGCCAAAATGAAGATCAAGTAGTTGCTTGAAAGTCAGCCAAGAATCCAAAAGGCTCTGATGAAGGGATCTGCCAAGTGCAGGTCACCCCCGGACACCAGGACTGGTAGTGAGTCAAGCTGATGGCAAAAATCATCATTTTTCAAAAGTTTATACACTAGTATTCTCCACCTGATTTTGCAGCCACTGTGCAAGGTGCTCTGAATACAAAAAAAATGGAAGTGAATTTCAAGGTTTGAAAGGCTGCCAGCCATGTCTGTGACTGGGGACCATTGTTTGGAAGGATTTTACTTAATTGCATCTTTGCTAGTATTCAGCCAATCTGAACTCTGGAAAGACCCAGGGTGGGTTGAATGTGGAAAATCCCTTTTTATCGTTTCAAATCTGGTACAATTTGGTTTAATAACAGGAAACTTGGGCTGGGGATGTGGCTCAAGCGGTAGCGCGCTCGTCTGGCATGCGTGCGGCCCGGGTTCGATCCTCAGCACCACATACAAACAAAGATGTTGTGCCCACCGAAAAATAAATAAATTAAAAAAAAAAAAAATAACAGGAAACTTTGTGAAATGAAAAACTTTAGAAAGAAGAAGTTGGGCACTGACCTGTACCATCCATGACTTAAAATGAAACTTCTCTGTAAAAGGAAAAAAAAAAAGATTAGGTCTGGGCCTCTTGGTAATGTTGAGTTTAGAGCCAACTAAAACATTTTAGAGCTGATTTGCATTTTAGAAAACTATGCTACATTTAAAATACCAAAGGTGATATGATCTAATGCTGAATCCAAAAGGAACTCAAACTCTTTCTGCTTTGTATCCCAAATTAATTTTTTTTCTTTTCTCCTTTTTTTTTCAGTGCTGTGGAAGAATCTCAGGGCTTCACATATGCTGGGCAAGTATTCCACCAGAGTTACATCTCCAGACTCCCAAATTAAATTTGAAAAACAATATACTTTATTATTTTTTTGTTAAAATGAAGATTATGCTATATTTTATTTTCAGAGAAGGAAATACTCAATGGCTAGCTTTCTAAAATAAATATATAAATTTAATGTAATTACAAGTAATGTTCCAGCATTATTTTTCACTTTATGAGTTGATGCTAAAATTCATACAAAGAATACATGGTCAAGTATATCCAGACTTTATTATTTTTTTAAAATGTAGCTGGGGATGGCACCTAGGCCTCGCCCATGCTAAGTACTCCACTAAATTTCCCCCCAAATGATATACTTTTAATCATTGTTTATTTTTAATCACTGATAAACTTTTAATCATTGACACAGTTAAAAATCAGGATAGTGTTTATCCTGGGTGGACTGTGAGCTATTTCTTATCGTGCCGGCAATGTTTGGCAACGTTCTATTGCTTCATCAGAGTGCAGGTCATGCAAGATGTCTCAATTGTGAAAACGCATGCTTAATGATTTGTGCACTTTTCTGTATGATATTATATTTCAATAAGAAGTTAATTAAAAACCTATATGCCCAAAGGGTCAGCACATGCTTTCTCAAGGGGGATAGACAGGAAATATTTTAGGCTTTGCAATCCATAAGGTCTCTGTCACAACTATTTATCTCATCTTTGTACCTTAAAAGAAGCCATAGGCAATGGGAAAATTAATGGGTCTAAAAAACTTTACAAAACAATAAAATATATAGTTTCACAGGAGGTGGGGATATAGCTCAGTGGTAGAGTGCTTGCTTGCCTAGCATGCATGTGGCCTTGGGTTCAATCCTCAGTACTGCAAAAAAGGGAAGAAAAAAACAACATCATTCTTTTAAAGCTAGCCAATAAAACCCATATGCCTTGGGAGTTTGCTACTTACCATCAATGATATAAACAAACTTTTCTATAAGAATTGGATATTTTACATAGTTTCTTTTTCTCATTGAATATCTATCTTTCACCTCACAGTATTTTACCCTAAAGGAACATTTTTTATTTTGAGTACTTTTTATATTTGAGTATCCTATTTTGCAACAACAAAAAATATCAATTTAATTTTTTTTATTTCCTGAATATTATAAAAAATTTATTCTTGATTGAATAATCATAGGGATTATGAGTACCCCAACTGATTAAACTTTCAAATATATTATACATTGTGAAAAGTAATTGTTAAACCTAAAATGTAAAAAAATCTTTTGGAAATGTATTTCTTAATGAGATAAACTTTCATTACTTCTTCCTCCTCATGGATTAAATATTTGTGATTAAGCATTATCTACTGCTTGAGACAGGGTTCAACATTAATTCTGGTCTCATTATTTTTGAAGTCAAAGGGATGGAAAGTCCTGATCAAATAAGCAGCTGGGAAAGAAAGGCAGTTTTCAGAGCAATGTCCAATTCAATTCTTTGCCTGGTCCTAGGTCCCAGGACCCAAATCATGAGGTCAGCAATACCTCAGGGGAATCCTCCCTTCTTCATTTCAGTTTCCTTGAGAAATGAAGAACACCAAACTTGAAAGATTTGTGACCATTTGTCTTTTTGTTTGCTACATCCAAGGGTTGGGCTTCAGGATAAATGCCTTTAGATGCTTTTCTTCAATTTTTGCAAAGGAGACATCTGGAAGTAAAGGGTCTGGAAACTGACTCCTAGAAACTGAATCCATCTGTGTTGATATCACTTGAAACAGCCTCTGTGTTCCCCTAGGAATTCACACCCCAGTTTGAAGGTCAGTGCTGCACAGCATTTAGATTTCTCTCTGTGGATTCCAGAGCTATTCCAGAAACCATTGTCCCTGAGGAAAAAAATGCATATTTCCCCACACATGTCCTGCTTAGGGTTTCAGGGATCTACATCCTGGTTATGGGCTCTGCTTGCAGTTGGGGCCTTCAGAGAAAACAGAGCTCAATTCAGGACCACCATCTGCAGCAGGATGGAGTTCGGATTACTGACCTGTGCCTCAGGCAGATTTCAAAAGTAACTAGCAGGTGTGAAAAACCCCTAGGCTACTTTTCATTCTTAGGAAGTCAAGAGAAGAAAATGCAGAACCTTAAGACAGGGCCAGAAAGATCAGCTGATAACCATGTCTCAATTTCACACAGATCCATTCCAACTCCCTTACCACTTTTCAAACAAGTATCATTATATGTGTCCTGCCTGGGAAGGATCCTCAGCAGGAGTCAGGAAATCACAGCTTGCCACCTGTTTTTGTAAGCCCAGGAGTTTCAATGGCTTTTTATACTTTTAACCTGTTGATGAGGGTAGGGGAAGAATAGTAATATTTTGTACCATCTGAAGTTTTTTTTTTTAATCTTTTGAATTTTTAAATTTGTTCTTTTAAGTATACAGGACAATAGAATGTATTTGACATATTATACATACATAGAGTATAACTTCCCATTCTTGTGGTTGTACATGGTGTGGAGTTTCACTGGTCATGTATTCATATAAAAACATAGGAAAGTTATGTTCGATTCATTCTGTCTTTCTTATTCCCCTCCCCCTCCCTTCCCTTCATTCCCCTTTGTCTCATCCAATGAACTTCTATTCTTTCCTCCAGCACCTGAAAATCTTTTGAAATTCGAAGCTCAGCGTCCATAAATGTTTATTAGAGCATGATTATGCTCACTCATTTACATTCTGTATGTGGCTGCTTTTGGCCTAGAACGGCAGAGTTAAATGGTTGTTACAGAGACCAAATGACCCACAAAGCTAAAATATTTACTAGCTGGTCTTTCACAGAAAAAGTGTGCCAAGCCCTGCTTGAGAGTTAACTGCTTTTCTGTGCCAGCACTCCTCTACACAGGCCGCCTGCCAAAGAAAACCAAAGCCCTCTGCAGGGAAGCAGCTGGGTTTCCCTTAGGTGAGGACTGACCTGGAGCTGTGTGCCCGCTTGAGCTTCCACTTATAAATAGGCAGGAAGGAATGAGGAGATTCTGACCAGGCAAGATTGAGCCTGGGTGATCTTTGTCCCATTCCCAAGCTGGTCCTTGGCTACTCTTCTCTGTCCCAGGGTGAAGGGGGCAGGTGGGTTTGTAAGCTCAGAGCCTGTGGACTGAGGCTGGGGCCAAGGGCAGCAGGGAAGGAGGGGGGCTAAAAGGAGGGGTGCAAGAGCAGCAGGATGCTGGTACAGTCGCAGCCCACCAGACACCATAGGATTAGGGGTTAAAACTGCTATTGGACTAGGTGCTGCTGTAGCAGGAGTCACACCTCCACACAGCCCATTCCAACCCATTTTACAGATGAACTTTCAAGGCACCTTTGGGGATCCCCTATGTCTATGGGAAAGCCGCTAGAAAAGGCTGGAAAACCCCGCTTGCCTGTGGCAGGAGCACTTCAGAGTCCTCTGTGTCCCCAGCTGCCCGCGTTGGCGGTTGGAGGGCAGAAAGGTTGCGGGCTTCTTTGGTATTCTAGGCTTTGACGCCGCCTGGGCAAGGGGGACCCTGGCCACACAGCCCATCTGTTCCTTTGGTCATGGAAGACACCCACCCTCCGAGACCACCCGTCTCCCGCCCTGCGGGAGGCCACCCATTCACCCCTCCCTAATCCCAACACGCACAGCCTGAACCTGGGCCCTGGGGAACGCCCAGTGCCCCACCGCCCCCAAGTTCTGCGAGTTCTCCGGAGCGCGGAGTCTGGGACCCTCCAGCCCCTCGTCCGCGGCCCGGGCATACCTAAAGCGTTCACGGACAGCGCGGCGGCAGCGCGGGCAGGGGCGCCCAGGAGCCAAGCCCAGGCGCAGAGCAGCGGCAGCACGGCCCTCATCGCGGCGGCGCGGCGCGGCTGTGGCTCCAGGCCCCGGAGGTGGCGGCCAGGGCTAAGGTCCCGGAGGCGGCGGGGCGGGGCGAGGCGGCGGGCGGGGCGGCACCGCAGGACCCAGTCCCGCGGCCGGCTCGCGGGAGGCGGGGCCACGTCGACCCCTGGCGGACCCGCGGCCACTCCTTCCCACCCTTCCCACCATCCGGGCCACTGCGCTCCCCTCTCCTTTTCTCTGGAGGGAAGGGCGGATTGGACAGCCCCTCCTGGAGGGGTCCCTGCTCTGCCCAGCTGGGCTGGCACCGACTGGCGAGGGTGGCTCTCGAAGGACGGAGGCCTTAGCCAGACCTCTCCATCTCCCTGCCGGTTCCCCGTCCTACAACCCCGTCTCCCTGCCGGTGCCCACCTCCAGAGCGCCCGTCTGTCAGTCACCACATTCTCCAGACTACACCCCCCTCCCGCGCCCGCACACCCTTCTTGGAATAAACTTAACAACCAGAGGAACTAACCCAAGCTCTGTGGTTGTCCTTCCACTCACGTCCAACAGGCGTTTTCTTCTTTTCTGCTGAGGAAGTCACATCCATGGCTATAGGATCATTTTCTTTATTTTTCAAAACAGAAGAAAGGAGGAAGCTGATATGTAAGAGTCTGCATGTGAAATAGGATGGGGACACTTCAAAATAAGGAACGCTCACTGTTTGCTTTGTGGGGGAGGGGAGGTCAGGGTCTTAATGTCCTCCACTCCTTTATTTGTTGTTATTGGGGGGTGGGGTACTGGGAATTGAACCTAGGGCACCCTACTACTGAGCTACATCCCCAGTCTTTTTTTGTTATTTATTTTGAGATGGGGGTCTTGTTAAATTGCACAGGCTGTCCTCGAACTTGCAATCCTCCTGCTTCAATCTCTGGAGTTGCTGGTATTACAAGTGTTCACCACCAACAACTGGCTTTTTGTTTGTTTTGTTTTGTTTTAATTAGGATCTCATTCTTGTGGTTGTACATGATGTCACCAACTGGCTTTGACTCCCTGTTTTACATATTGGGAAACAGAGGCCGTGGAACTAGATGGTAACTTTCCTAGCACTTTTGTAGAGAGAGCCTGAGGTTAGCTTGGATCTACTGAAGACTCCTAATGTCTTTTGCAGCCTATGACACTTTGGTGGGGCCACAGCCTGCCCCAGGATCTTGGGTCAGAATCTGAGCTTTCCTGACCTGCTTTCCCTGAAGTTCTAAGCCCAGACTCTGCTTCACAGGCACATTGGGGAGCAGATGTCTGGAGTCTTCTTGCAGCATCTGGTCAGTAAGTTTTGGTGTTACAGAGCTGGGGCCTTCTAAGAAACTGAGACAGCATGAAGGCTCCCCTTCAAGCCTCGATTCTTTCAATCAAGTCAGATTTCGAGCCTCGATTCTTTCAATCAAGTCAGATTTCGGATGTGTTGCTCAGAGTAGCGGGTGTGAGTTTATTAGAAGGGATGGGAAAGGGGATACTCTCAAGGGAGAGAGTGGGTTCTGTAAGAGAGGCGAGGGATAGCATGCCTCTCCTGCCCTCCAGTTTTATTGAGGGTTCCAGGAAAGCTTCCAGAGAATCCCACCTAGATTTATTTCTTCTGACTGACAGTAGGATAACATCACACTTTCAAGTCTCCACTGCTTTGACAACTCCAGGTCACTTAGGCTCATAGAACCGTTCTTATACATGTTATGGTTGGGGGAATTATCATGTCTCCCTGAGTTCTGGTTTCTGGTCTGTATAAGAGTCCCAAACTCCCTGCAGGGTAACTTGTGTTCTTATCATTGCATTATTTTGGGCCTGCATTTCTCCTGCAGATAACAGGTTGTTTCCTGAGGAATGTGTCATATCTTATTGATTTAAACCAGGTAGGCCTGCAGGTAATTTTTTTCTTTTTGGTAGTTGTAGATGGACATAATACCTTTATTTTATTTATTTTGATGTGGTGCTGAGGATCGAACCTAGTACCTCGCATATGCTAGGCAAACTGAACTACTGCCACTGAACTACAGCCCCAGCCCAGTAATTTTTTTTTTTTTTTTTGAAAAGACATGGGGTTAGCCTGGTGGGCCTAATTTATAGAACTAGTCCCTTAACCTCATGTTCCAACTCCTCATGTATATCTGTCTGCTGTCATTGGTAGGGCTCAGAAATGTGCATTTAAAGAGCCCCAGGAAAAGCTCTGTTTGTCAGGTATTCAATATAGCACTGCATCTGTTTTATACAGATTTTTATACTGATTTTTATAATCAGTGATCCACTCCAGCAGACACCCTCACAATTTCCCATGGTTGGATTTTAAATTTTTCAACTATGATGTGAAGGTAATACATTTTCAACATAAGCTGCACTTTGAAGTTTGAATTTTGATCTTTCCTTGGGATGATGATATGCAGTACCAGAGTCTTAATGCTGGACAGTGGGGCTGCAGCTTCCAGTCAGCGCTGGATTAGGAGGGGAAGCCGCTGATGCTCTTCATTGTACTGTGTTCAAAAATAACATAAGATATTCACAACTTTATTGTAAAATAGGCATTATGTTAGATGATTTTGCCCAACTGTAGGCTAATATAAGTGTTCTGAGCATGTTCAAGGTAATGTAGGCTAAGCATTGATGTTTGGTAGGTGAGGCATATTAAATGCATTATTGACTTATGATATTTTCAACCTATGAAAGCCAGGAGGATCTGTGTTTTCTGATAAAGCAAAACTTTGTCAGTTTGTGAATCTGTCCCTGTCTGGATGTCCTTCTGGGTGTGACCATCTCATCTGTGCTTGAGGTAAATGCCTCAGAAATGGCCCTGCATGGTTACTATTTGGAAAGTAAGTCACTGGCCTTGGGACTCCTCTGCAGCTGTCCAACCCCTCAGGTATTCTGAGAATGCCTGGCCACTCTATCTTCTTTGCTGCCTGGAGAGTGGCAGGACTGAGAGCCTTGCATATTTGACTTTGGGCCCCAGAACTGGCCCTGTGTTGGGTCCATAATGACCTTCCTTTGTGGATCATTCCAGAGGGCTCTGAAGCCCTTGGGGTGATGAGATGTGGAGGACACTGGCCTGGTCAGTTAGGGACCAATGTTTGCTTCCTAGTCCTATAACAGATTCCTGTGTGATCTAGGCAAATGAGTGCCTTCTCCATGGGGCCTCAGTTTCCTCATCAGTAAAACAAAAGCCCCTGTCTTCCCAGTGGTTAACTTCAGTGACAGGTAAAATGCCTGTAGCATGGCACTGGAATAGTGACTCACCCCAAACACGGGCTTCTCTGAAGTTCAGCCTGTGCTCTCTGCCCTTAGTTACCTGCACCAACCTTTGTGGTGAGGTTTTTCTGCCCCTCTGGCTCTAGTTGGCCCTCCTTTCTTTGAGGGTTCCTTCTCTATAGTCTTGGTCCTCTATATCTTTGCAGAGGTTAGTCTGAGGACTGGTGCTGATGGCAGAGTCTGGGGGCCAGAGATGGTGGGCAGAATCTGAGGGTTTCTGTCTCCTGGTTATTTAATCAAACACAGCCCAGGGCTGCTGTGAAGGGGCTTTGCAAATGGAATTAAGATTTATGTTAGGGGGTTTGGGTTGTGGCTCAGTGGTAGAGCGCTTGCCTAGCATGTGTGAGGCACTGGGTTTGATTCTCAGCACCACATATAAATTAATAAAGGTCCATCAACAACTTACAAAATATTTTTTAAAAATCTATGTATGTTAGCTGTCACCATGACCAAATACTTCTGAAAAACAACTTAAAATAGGAAAGGTTTATTTTGGTTCATGGTTTTGAAGGTTTCAGTCTGTGATGTACCAGCCATTGTCTTCAGTCCTGTAGTGAGGCAGAACTGTTATGGCAAAAGGGTGTGGCAGAGCAAAGCTGCTCATCTTAGGGTGGGAAGCAGAGAAAGAGAAGGGGCTAGGACAAGATACAGCCCTTAAGTTTATGCTCTCAAGGACTCACTTTTTTTAACTAGGTCCCACTTTCTGCAGTTTCCCATATTTCCCAGTAGTTTGTTCAGCTTTGAATCCTGCAATGGATTAATCTAGTGATGAGGTCAGAGCCCTCATGATCCAATCACTTCCCCAAAGTCCCGCCTTTGAACATTGTTGCACTGGGTACCAAACCTGCAACCACGAGTCTTTGGAGGATACTTCAGATCCAAACCATAACAAGATCCAAATCAGCAAACTTTATAAAAGATCATCTTGGGACAGGTGCAGTGGGTTGGTGCACACCTGTAATCTAATCGACTTGGGAGGCTGAGGCAGGAGGATCGCAAGCTCAAAGCCAGCCCAGGCAACTTGGTAAGACCCTGTCTCAAAATAAAAAATAAAAAGGGCCGGGATGTAGCTTGGTGATAGAGCACCCCTGGGTTCAATCCCCAGTACCATAAAGAAAAATAAAGGATTATCTTGGATTTCAGTGTAATCACATGGGCCCCTAAAAGCAGAAGAGGAAGGGAGAAGAGTGAGAGAGATGAGGCAGAAGGTGAGGTCAGAGAAAGTCAGAGGAGGGAGGAGTGGGGAGGTGAAGTAGAGAGCTTTGAATCACGAGGGACTTTACTCACCACTGCTGGCTTTAATGAGAGCCACAGGACAGGAAATTGGGTGGCCTCTCGGAGCCTGAAATGGCTCTAGCCAAAACTAGCAAAGAAATAAAGACCTCATTTCTACAACTGTATGCAACTGAATTCTGTCAACAACCTGGATGAGACTGGAATCATTTTCACCCTTGACCCACGAGAAAGAAATGTGACCTGGGTGACATTTTTGAGTTGGGCTTTGTGAGGCCTCAGAGAACCAGGCAAGTCCACGTGGACTTCTGAACTGTTAAACTATTGTGGGATAAATATGTGTTGTTCTAAGCCTCTAAGGCTGTGGTAATAGTTATGTGATAAGAGGACACCAACACAGGAGGTGAGTGCAGAGGCTGGCAGGTGCCTTGGGTGACAGAGGCTGGGCATGGTCTAAGGATCTAGACACATAGCTGGGTGGCATGTTCAGAGTCAGTGCCTCCCTTGGGGTGCATTGGATCCTGCTCCCTGGCTTCACG